GCGGCGCGCGCCGATTGGCTGCCGCGCAGCCCGTAAGAGGACGGCGTAGTGATATCCGGGTTTACGGGACCAGCGGGCGGCTTATACAGAGAGCCTCGCAGACCGAGAAAGACACGGCGGACTCCATTGCTGTCCTGAGTGCGTTTCTCGCCGGACTTGGTGTTCTCCGTTACTGCGTAGTCCGCGCCTCCGTATAACCGTCGTCTCCTGGTACGGGAAACCGTCGCGCGACCGACTGGGCCGCCCGGACGTTGTGAAATAACATAAATAACGACTTTTCTTGTGTGCGGATAACGCGGGTGGTTCGCGAGCTGAATCTTCTCGTGCGTAGTCGGGAGACGGGAGAAAAGAGCCACGATGGTAAGTAACTCTGTCTCTCTCTCTCTTTTTTCTCTCTGTCTATCTTACGTGCCGCGCGACGATCAAACGACGCCGGGTGTTATGTTGTAACACGTGACGGGTTCCTGGTTTTTCCGTGTGCCGTAAACTCGTCCGTCGAGACTTTTCGGTTACTTCCCCCCCGAGAAAGTCCCCGCGGACTTTCGTTGTTTTACCGCATTGACGCGTCACCGAACGCACGTGCGTAACGGAGACACACACACACACACGCACAGATTCGAGCCAGTGATGCGCAATTTGCAACTTTGCCGAGGAGTTCACGCGGTTTCGACTCGTCCGTGCGACACTCCATCTTTTTTTGCGTTACATCCCGTTTGGCGGAACGGATTTCCTTTTCTGGAAGGATCGACGAGAGAAAGACAGAGAGAAAGAGAGATAGCGCTTTCGTTCTCTCTTTGTCTCTCTCTCTCTCTCTCGCCGCGCTATTTATCTGTCTTTTCTCCCTCTCTTCTCATCTAACGTTGTCAGAGGCCTCGGCGTATTGAACAGCAGAAACACATATTTCGTTCGTGCCGCCCCAGAGAGGCTGCCCCGACTCTCTGCAATTATCGATCCGGCATGGCCGTCTCTATGTTTCTCCCGTGCTCCGTTTTCGCCCCGAGTTTCTTCTGCGAGGAAAAAAAAAATTAAAAATCCGTTGAAGCGTCTCGTCGATCAATCGATTGTCGTTGAGAGAGAAAGAGCGAGAGAGGGAGAGAGAGAGAGAAAAAAAGGGAGATTCAAAAATGTCCGGTGCTATCTTTCTTGCGTATATATATATGTATATATATATACGCACGTATATATGTCAAAAGGCGTCGTAAGGGAGAGTCGCGGCTTTCCGACACGTTGTGTGTCGACCCGACGCGCTTACGTGTCCTGGAATTCAACGAGCATTACGTTTCGTCGGCCGGCCGTACGTTACGAGAACGAGACAGGTGGGCGAACATTTCGAAGCGGCTAATTTCGCCGCCTCCAGGGTGTCTTTTTCGTCGCATTGTGTCAGCTTGACGTGCATTGCTCTTTCGCCGTCTCTCTCTCCGGCAGCAGCACTTCGGCTGCCCTCTTGGACTCGTCGAGATAATCGACGAGCGCAATGCGACAGTTTATCTTCGCGCTATTCGCCCGCTATGTATTTCTGTCCGTTTGGCTTCTTCCGAGATGGTCGAAACGCCACCGCGAGAGAGAAATCGCCCGCTTCTCTCCCGATCTGTTCTCGGAGCTCTACACTCCGTGCACTCCGCGCGTACCGATTTTAAAACCATAAACCATTTATAGATAATGTTTTTTTTTTTTTCTTTTTTTCGCGCACAAATTAGAGACGAGATTGACATCGAGATACTCACAGAAAGTGTTAGAAAAAAATAGAACACGCGCAGATTTTCGTTTAATGTGAGAATTTTTTAATTCATTAATTTTTTTTTCTTTTTATTTTTTTTTTCCTTTTTATTTTTTTTAATAGCGCGGCTAAAACGGTTTTAGCCCCTGACGATAATGCGCGTAACAACGTCATCCCACGATTCGCGTCAGCATCTCGTGCGAATTGGAAAAAAAAAAAAAAAAAAAGGGAACGACACGCAGCGAGCGGACGTTATCGCGCATCGCGATCTCTCGTCTTTTCTCCTCTTTCTTCTCCTTCGATCGCGGGCGGAGATAGACACCTATCGGAGCACGAAATACGAGACTTATAGTGAACGAGCAAGCGAACACACAGTACGCTTGACTGCTTCTTTTGCATAATCCATACAGGTCACCCGATATTCATCTTTAAGGGCGCTGCCGGGTTCTCGTTATTGCGTTACGTTAATTCTTGCGTGTCTTCGATTCGGTGTTTCTTTACTTCTCTCTTATTTTCTGGTTTTTTTTTTTTTTTTTTTCTTACCTTTTCCTCTTCTCGGGTCATGGAATTGGTCGATCAACCGTTACGGCGATACCGTCGCTCGCTATTGATTTTTGCATTCCTGCACCAACGTGCGGCTTCTGTTGATTTTCCCCGCGCTCCTTTTATGTTTCCCCCACGCTAAAGCCATCGTATCGGACTACAAATTAGAATTGAGATTGGATTGGAATTTGATCAGATGAAAAAAAAAAAATTCAACCAACGGGAGGAGGTCAAAGTCTGCCGAGATTGGTCTTTTTTTTTGTTTTTTTTTTTTTTTTCTGATTGATTAAATCCAATCCCGCAGTTATAATCCGCGGAGTCTGATTGATACAGAACTTAAATGATCTGATGTGGTGTTGATTCGTCTCGACTTTCGTTTACGCATCAAGAAAAATATCAGGATTTCTTCTCGCTACGATATAACACGCTTGTCTTATTTATGTTTGTTTTTTCCTTTTTTTTTTGTCTATTACGGGAAGGACAAATTTCTCAGTATCACTTGTGGCTTGAAAAAAAGTGAGGTTATCCGCTAGGGATTACATATGTATAGTCACATGCATTATTAGCTGTGACTTTGACAGTATAATAACAAGACTACAAGTTACAATAAATACATTCTTAGGTCACATTGATTACAAATGTTTTTATTGTTGCTGCAACTCTTGCTGTTAGCAGCTATCAGTGATTGATGTCAAATAATGTCATAATGTATTTATTTATAGATCTGATGTTTATTGTAATTTTCCGAAAATTATTCTCTGGAAATGTTGATTATTGCACAAATTAGATAATAAAGTGACCTGTATTATTTTTTTTTCAAATTTGCAACACAATATTTCTGTTTCATCATTATACCATTCTGTGTTCATTATACTATGGTGCTGCTTGGAATTTACAATATTTGCAATGCATATAAAATTTGAGTCACGTGAATATGTAATGCTTTATTAATATTTATGTGGACCTTTCCAAATTGGTCTAAGGTTTCCTTATTTATGCAGAAGCAATTGAATTGTATCTATGCGTCATCATGTCGTTTTTTATGGATATTGTTACATCTCATTGCCTTACATTATTACTGTCATTATTGAAAGCATTGATAAAAAAAAACAAACTTGCGCAACGGAAATATTCTAGAGATTACAGTTTAGAATTCTCATGTTATAAAAATGTAGGTTATTAATAGGTTTAATCTCTTTTTAATTAAAAGCAACCGTTTGCAATGTCATGTATGGTACATGGAATTTTAAATCGTTTTTTTTTTTTTGTTTTGTAGGCTGACCAACTCACAGAAGAACAAATCGCAGAGTTTAAAGAAGCGTTCTCGCTATTCGACAAGGATGGTGATGGTACCATAACCACCAAAGAATTGGGTACAGTCATGAGGTCCCTTGGTCAAAATCCCACAGAAGCAGAACTACAAGATATGATTAATGAAGTTGATGCAGACGGTATATATTTTCATATGAATAATTATTCACACAAGGAAAACCTGTTCACTACTGTGGCGCACATCGTGTGTTAGAATTTTTTATATTGGAAAATCTTAATGAGATTATTTTTGAATATTTGAACATTCTAGGTATGAACGTTTTATAGATCTCGGAAATATATCATCGACTCCTAAATTTAACTGCGTATAAAAATATGTTGTATAAATGCGATGTTTTTGGTTCTATTTTTATCTACTGCAATAAGTTTTTTTTTATCTTTAAAATTCTTTTAGTTTTAAGAAAATTGACTTATTTTTGTAAATTAATTATTTATTTATTTTTATGTTTAAGAAAAAAAATGATGTTTTGGCACTGAATTTTGCAAAAACTTTAGGTAATGGCACAATCGACTTCCCGGAGTTCTTAACCATGATGGCACGTAAAATGAAGGACACGGATAGCGAGGAAGAGATTAGGGAGGCCTTCAGAGTGTTCGATAAGGATGGAAATGGCTTCATATCCGCGGCGGAACTCAGACACGTCATGACAAATCTGGGCGAAAAATTAACTGATGAGGAAGTAGATGAAATGATACGAGAGGCCGATATCGACGGCGACGGCCAAGTTAATTATGAAGGTTATATTGCGTTTACTCTATTAATTGACATTAACATTGCTCTTTGTCATATTGCATTATGTATATGTGCTCAGATTAAAGTCACGCGTCGTCACGCAACCGTCAATATGTTAATTAAAAAATAGTTTTTCATGTACTATATTTTGTATATTTTATCATTGTTTTTTTTTTTAATAAAAATTTGTCCCTAATCGCTGTAAAATAAATATATATTTCTCCGTTAAATCTCTTATTGAAGATTAACTTTTCAACATTATTTCGTAATATTGTCAAATACACATTTTTTTGTTCAAGTTTGCATATGTGAAACTAATTGGATGGTTTTTGCATTTGTGTTTTGCAGAATTCGTCACAATGATGACATCAAAGTGAATGCAACCTGTGTAACAGAAGAACTCGCGACTCGGAGTGGTGTTGACGTATTAAAATAAATCAAGATACAGAGAAAAAACATATGTAAACAAAAAGAGAAATCTACCAGAAAGTGACAAATCTTGTATCAGGATGCGAAGATGTCTATAAAAGCGCGAAGAGTCAACGTCCGATACCGCGTTAAAAAAAATCGTCGTTTAACGATAAGTAATACAGGCCAATTAATTGTTTAATTAAAGAGTTATAATACTAAAATCATTATTTCTAAACACAAATATTTACGCGTGTGTACATACACAACACGTCGATATATACAACACAATACGCTACACCAAACTCACTCGAGGAGTATAATACACACACACACACACACACACACACAATTGACAAATCTTATTTCCATTGGGTAAAAACGAATTTGGAAGTGAGATAACGCGATACACAATTTGCGCGCGCATGTGCACCAACGACAAACAAAAAGTGCATTTTTCCACTTTCCTCTCTTTCTCGACTGCCTCTCCTCCCTTCCCTATCTTCTTATCTTTCCTTCCTTCCGTCTTTCCTTCTTCTCCCGTTTATCCCCTTCATCCACTCCGAAATTTTTTTTTTCTTTTTTTTTCTTTTTTTCATGGAAAAGGTATGTCGAAGAAATGTAATTTCTTTCGTAAACGGAGAGGAAACGTGTATTTAGGGGACGAAGTATAAATCCAATGTAAGATAATATTTAAAAAAAGAAAAAAAGCAGCAAAGATTTATTTGCCAATCGAGAGAGATTAATCGAGAATTCCTTCGTTCATTTTTTTAATAAATAAATGAAATACGTGTATAGTAAATGATGACATTAGAGTACTTTAGCTGCTAAATAGATGATGATGTCTCTACCGTTAAAATGCATGCACATGTACAAATGGTTGTTTGCCTCTGTGAGAGAGAGAGAACGAACGAACGAGCAAGCGAGAGAGAGCGAGAGAGAGAGAGAGTGAGAGAGCGAGAGAGACAAAGAGAGAAAGAAAGAAAGAATTTGGCCTGAATTGTTTTTCGAAAGAGTGTGTGTGTGAGAGAGATAGAGAGAGAGAGCGAGAAAGAGAGAGACACACCATATAAATATGATGCGCTTCGGCCTCTGGGTTACTTATGACGATTTTAAAATGCAAAAGCTGTGCTGGACCCCTCGATGCCTCACACAAACTTAATTTATTTAATCAATGAACAAGAAATATATATATATATATAAAAAAAGAAATGAAGAGAAAAAGAGGGAAATAAAACAAATAGAGAATCCCCTTTGGAGGAGCCTCGAGGAGCTCAGACCTTAGTGCTTTCGCGAGTGTCGCAACGCGATCTTTAGGAAAGCTCCAGGATCCGAAATCTCGACATTCCTAATTGAAAATAAAAAAAACCTTACGCTTTCAGTCAGCATTATCCAGCCTCTCGTGTCCGTGCGTACAAGACTTCACACACGAATTATTATTACGAAAATATACGCGAGAAACTCTATACACACAGAAAAAAAAAAAAAAA